GAGGTCTCCTCTCCCCCCCACTGGACCACTGTCACTGGGAATCTCCTTCAAACCCCTGCTGCTGCCTTGCCTGGCATCGCCTCACGCTGCCCCTGCACATATGCATGTCATGTGGTGTGAGCAGCAAGGTGTACTCTGATGTTATGGGGCCTGATGGTAGCATATTCCTTGCTGATAGCGATGATTTCCACACTCAGGTACACAGGAATGTGTGTGTGTGCCCTCTGAGCCCGCCCTTCATGTTGCGGGTCCTCGGCCGAGCTGACTACTTAGACCCCTGCACCTACGTGAGTCCGCAGTGAGGATTCAACATGGCAGCTGCAGGTTTTCAAGGGTGCACACCTCCTCCCCTGTTCTCTATGCTCTATTTCACCTGGTTCTCTGTCCGCTTGCCCCTGTTTGTTCCCCTTCTTACACTAACCGGCCCATTTTTCCATGTGGCTGAGCTTCAAATAGAAGGGGGACTCACACATTCCGGTTAGCATGCAGGGGATCTGATGTACCATTTGGCATCCCTGAGTGCAATCTAAATGAATACCTTGTATGGAGGGATGCTAAATTGTATCTTGTAACTCAATCCCAGAAAACATGAGTAAAAATGCTGTTTTTGACTCAGTGTTTATCTCTCATTTCTGTTACCACTGAGAACACAATGGACGCCATCATCTATCTTCTTCTCTTTGATATTCATCAAAAGAAATAGGACATGAGCTAAGATATACAAAACCCCAGGAAGAAAAATGAAATCTACAAAACTTATTCACATTAGGCCTTGTATGAGTTTTTCCACCTATATTGAAAACAGCGCAGAGTAATATTCAAGTTAGCTGTGATTTAATATGACATTTAGATTTTCCTCCAGCACACAGCACAGCCCAGGCAGCACCCATGGGAATCTTCTCTTCTGGTACACAGTTAACATTCTGCATTTGTCCACCACTCTGTAATTTATTGGATCTCATCTGTCCAGGCGTTGATTTATATATTGATTTGAAAAATAAATAAAAGTGATAGGAACCTGCATTGGAGTGTAATGATGGACTGTGTCGACATGCAGGAGTAGGGATATGAAACATTGGGAGGAAATTAGATATTATGCCCCCAAGACAACTGCAGCCAGCAGCACATTCATTATTGGCTGGATATTTATTATTAAGAATTTCTCTTCATGAGTGACTGCTGCAGAATATTTCGGCCCTGCTCGAGCTACCAAAATGTTATGTGTGAGTGTGGGTGAGTGTGTGTGTGTTTGCATGCATGTGCAAAAATGTTTGCCGGCATGCTGTCAGCGGTTCTGACAGGTGGGAGACAATCAGATTTGGTTTTTCTTGGTTGTCCTCTTATAGTAACACATGACAGTACACTCAGAACACACACGCTCACACACACGCTCACACATTCACACACAGACACAGAAATTGCTATAAAACTCCTCAAGTGAAACTGAAAAATACATGCAGTGCATTTATAAAAAAGCCAGGATCATGGCTATACAATGCATATTAACACCCACAAGCTCCATATTTCAACCTGACAGGACCACGTTCACAGAAACAGTGTGGTAAAAAAACAAAACACTAGACAGCTGTTAAAAACTAAAACTCCTTGCCAGGACTTCCACCACTGCTCTGCACCAGTTTTAATCACAGCCCAGTGAATTTTAAACAGCAGTGTAGACAAGGGCCGCTGTCCAAGCCTCCAGAATTTTTATTTCATTTTTTCCCTCCCACCTCTCTGCTCTAATCCACTTCAATTATGTTTCCTCCCATTTCTCCCGATCACTTTACAGCTCAGCAGCACCTGTGCTAATTGTAGTGGCAATGATGGCTGATATGTTTTGCATTCTTAAAAGAGTTTGAGAGGGGGACGACAGATAAACATCCAGCCCCGGGGCTTTTGGAAAGCGTGGCTCTGCCTAGCAGATGGCCATCATATTATACGAGGCAAGCTTCTCGCTGAGGCTGGTGTTCAGGTGGGTGGGGTGTAATGAGTCTGAGGTAAGAGGAGGAGAAAGATGTGGAGAAGGGGTAAAAGAGGAAGGTAGGAAAGGAGAACGTAGGAAATGAAGGAAGTGAGGGAAGTGAAAGGAAAAAAAGGTGTAGACAGTACAGGCCTATTTCTGTGTTTGGAAAATGGAAAAAAAGGAAGAAAGGATGGCAAATAAAGATAAAGTGAAAATCAATTTATTGCTTATTTAGTAGTTTTACATTTTTTAAAAATAGGCTTATTGGATTTCTGACTGAGCATTAAAGAAGAAGATACCACTAGCATAGAATAGCAAACAGGCCTGAAATGGGCGAACAGCTCACAGTCCATCTGTAAAAAAAATCACCCTACAGCACAAAACCTCAGCAATTGACACTTTTCTATGTTGTTTGTTTAAGTGTAAAACAAATTCAACCCAGGGAATTTCTTTGAGAGCTAATAGATTTTAACATAAATAAACATACAACAACACATTAGTAAAGACTTTGAGCAGTAGAACAGCTAGCCTAGCTAGTTATTGAACAGCTGAACGACTGGTTGCCAAAAAAAAGTAGCTGTGTAAAACCAAAAATGTGGTTTAACTTTAAAGACATTAAATGTTTATTGGTGAACTAACGCCACTTGTAAACTGATTTAGTTACCAATAGGCTACAGAGCCTTCACTGTTTTCCGCTATTTTCAGTCTGTTGTCTATGCTAACCTAAGCTAATTGGTTGCTGGCTGTATAGGGAACAGGGAATGAGTGGATTTACCAACATCTTGCTGAACATAAACTGAAGATCAATAATACAGACTTTAAATGTTGACACAAAATTTTTTTTAAAATAAAGTTTGTGGCCCCTCAAAAAAGCCAGAGCACATGAGATACTTCTAATAGCCTCTGTGTTTTACTGATATCATAAATACATGGTTTCATAAATGCTTTTATTCTCTAAAATTCATGTCCCCTACTACAGAGCGTTACCCAAGTGAAATCTGAAACTATACAATAGCTGGATTTAATTGAACTGACTATAGTAATAGGAATCCACACAGGTGCATACAGTCTCTATGTTTGTTTGTGTACCTTCTTAGCCAAGGACGACAAGTATTGTGTGTGTGTGTGGGGGAGCAGGTGTGTACATGTCTCTGTGAGAGCGGCTGTGTATCGCTCACCTAGCCACCTTGCTGCCCCTGCTGAACCGATTGCACCCGTAATGAATGGGCTGCCAGCCCTCCCCGCTGTGGCTATCGGAGGTCGGACCACATATTATATAGCAGCCTATTTGCTGGGATGATGAGCTTTGGACATCTCCCATTATTTATTAGAAAAGGCTGTAGCTATATGAGAGCAGAGGTTGAATGGCCTATAGGTTACAAGGTGGGTTTGTGTGTGTGTGTGTGTGTGTGTGTGTGTGTAAAAATATGAGGCTGGAAGATGAGGATGCAGAAGGTGCATGAGAAATAAAGGGAAAAGATCAAAACAAAAATGATTCTTTAATTTAATTTAAGTGCAAGTAATGATGAAATATGAATTCATTTCATATTTCATTTTTAAACTGAAGATACATTGAATTTGTTCATATTTTATCACTTTACTAAAGACACACCACTTAAAAACATTTGTATTGAAATAGAAAAAGCAAAATGTTTGTTTTAAACAATAAAAAAACAGCTGACTTCAGAGGAAGGCAAATTCCTGTGTGGCTTTGAAAAATGGTCCAAATCCTCAGTGTTCTAACAGGGGTCAGCCTGCTTTGTTAGGTGTGTTCTCCTGGTGCTAAAAGACAAATGATGTACTTTGCCTTGGGTCAACTGGGCTTTCCCATCCCATAATGACCTTTCAGGGAGCTGAAAGAGAACAGCCATTCCCACAGCGATGAAGCAGTACTGTACGCTACACAATAAAGGTGTATGTAATGGCCAACTAATGTTTTAACGCTGCAACATGACCTCTCCACCTCAAATGGACTGTTTTACTGTTCATCAATCATATAAAACAAAGTACTTTAGCAGGGAGCTGTATGTCAAAATAAAAGCCTCTTGAAGGAAATTTTCTTTTTTTTGCGCCTGTGTGAAACGTGAATCTTCAGCCAGACATGCATGCATCCAAAGTTGTTTTCTGTTTTGAATTGAGTTTTGTGCTACTAACATGTTCAACACTCGCCACATTGCTTTGGAAGAAAACCTTAGCAGCTCTCACTGTGTGTGTGTGTGTGTGCTGCTGTACTGCCAAAAGTTCCCTGGAGGAGACAGGATCTCTGTCAGTTTGTCATCAGACACAAGCTGCCAAGTTTTATGAAATACCATATTCCTAATTGGCCCAGCGTTAGGTTTCCCGCCTGGAAGTGAGACTGTAATATCTGGGTCTCTATTAGGATCACAGATAGAGCCACACTCAGCTGCCTCCTGCTGAGCTGGCAAGTTGCTGTCATTTCACACCATGCTATGACAGTCAGACACGCACACACACACACACATAATGTGATCATCAAGGACAAAAGACTAGCAAACCTTTCAAATCCATCCCGAGCTTACCTTAGCATTTCCTTGGTTAGGTTGAGAAGAGTTCCAACCAGTTAAAAAAATAAAACATTTGATTTTCAAAACTGTGTATGTAAATGTATGTCATACAACACTGACTCTACCTAGCTAGAAAAAAAAAACCCATCTTCTTACCTGTATTCATCCGTTGAGATGTCAAAATGAGTAATATACCTGAGTCCCTCGTGTATCACTGAAGAACCTGTGTTAGCCTCATCATCTTTCTGAGAAATAAACACAGGCATTAATGTAGTTGACACACATGTATACACATGGAGCTAAACGAACAGGGCAGCAGGCACAGTGAAGTCCTGTTTAGTTTTTGTCTAGCAGTGCTATCTTTTTTTCAGGGCTCCTAATCAAATATGCCTAAGGCCACAGGATGGATAAACACACACACACAGTTTGGCAACATTTCAACTCTTCTCTCAGCGGTGCAAAGGGAGAGAATAAGGGTTTCGCTGATCACACACACACACACACTTGAGGAGAATTGTCTCAGTTTGTTTTAATGTAAAAACAGTGGTACCCTTCCACACAAACACATGGTTAGCAAACGGTGGCAGTTGACCTTTAAATACATCGTTGTATACTGAAACAAACGTCTTCATAATTCCCCAAAGTTCCACCAAACAATCACACAGATTCCACATTATTTATTTTTTTTATGAATCAGGGCACAGTCCGATATAAATGGACCAATAAAGTTTGATCAGGACAATGATTATATGAAACGAAGTGTTTTGTTCTGTCTTACTGGCACATGCGGGGCCAGATTTGCCTTTTATTGTCTCTTAGGGTGGGGAGGGGTGGCGGGCAACATTCATTTCAGAAATGATAGTTAACATGTCGCTCTGTGCTCTTCTCTTCCAAAATGTCAGTTTCTTTTTTTTCCAAACCACTCAAGGGCTTAAGTGTCAGGTCATCTCCAGTGCAAAACTGTGCGATTTGGTTAGCTAAGGCGCTGGCTTCCCTTTAAAGTCTTAAAGGTCCTCAGTGTCATCCTCAATATTGGGAATGTTTCTTAGAGCTCTGTAGCTGGTCTTTTAAAGAAGTGGCATTGATCCACATAGTTACTGTTCCTTCAGTTAGTTGCAGATGGTTTTGAGTTCTTTCCGTTGAGTAGTACACCACTTGTGTACTGAAAACTAGATGAAACTCCGTCACCACTCTTTGTCCGTGCTGTTGCTGAATCTGAATCTGATTGGCGTTTCAACCCCCGTTCAGCCATCCTTCACTCAGTGGTGGTGTTGAAGAGGTTTGTAGGAGGGGCATGTGCTTCAGCATATCCCCTGGGACAGCTGGGCCGACTCTACATCTGAACAGATGTACAATCTGCCAGCTCAGGTCTTCAGCTACGCCGGCGGGTGCCTTCTATACGTCCTGTGAAAGAAATCGCACTTTCTTTCCCGTCAGCAGCAAGCTCTTGAGCTCCTTGATGGAGGGAAGCTTCATTTTGTCTTTGTTTTTACTGTAAACATTCAAGAAGATGCCGAAGAGCACCAGAAGGCCGCCCCAGATGTACCTAAGGAGGGAGGGAGAAAAGGAGGGATCAGATATTTTTACGGGGCAGAGATGTAGGGGAAAAAAAAGGGTGTGTGCAAACAAACATATATGCTTCTTTATGCCGATGTAATCATTTGATAGAAAGTATGAAATTGAGTAGGATTCAATTAACTTTATGCAGTGTTGTTTTGGGCATGGGCGAGTTCATTATTCATCACACTTTTCCAATGAGTAGACACAATAAAAAAGCAATGTGCATGTGAAAGTGAGGGGCGCATATGGCCTAGTGGCCTAGTCGCGCTACATGTACGGAGGCTATGGTTCTCCAGGCGGGCGGCCCGGGTTCAGTCTGTGGCTCCTGTCCCGTATGTCATTCCCAACTCTCTCCCTGATCTCCTGCTCTATCCACTGTCCTTTCAAAATAAAGGCAAAAGGCCCAAAAATAAATCTAAAAAAAAAAAAAAGTGAAAGACTATCTATATACTATAGACGTAAACTATGCAAGTCACAATATTCTTAGATCTTTGGGATTTGTTTGATAGAAAAAAAAATCATGGTTGTTTAAAACAAAAAAAAAAGAAATGCAAAGAAATTATTTATAATAATTTATAATGCAGATTCTTCTGGGACGCCATGAATGGTCAGTGAACTGTTTAATGAGTTACAAGATGATTTAAAGAATACGCTATGGCCTTGAACCACCACTGTGTTTTTTTTTGGATGGATGCATTTGCAGCGCCTACAAGAAAAGAGGGAATTTCTTTTGGGATAATCATTTTTGATAGTCACACTTAACTAAGATACTAAATGTTCAGGTTTCCTTTTAATCTATTTATACTCTATATTTGACCTCGTATAGTTGTCTGTTTTACAGTAATTAAGACAAATTGTACATTTTTTCTGTAATTAGTTGTGTCACTGACCAATCTCTGTATGTCTCGCTAATCACTTCTTTTGGGTTAAAAGCATAAAGCGCAGCCAGGAAAGTTACTGTATGTCCACAAATGGTGGAAGACACCAGCTGGAGGGAAACAAAGTTGGCTCTGAGGATACAAAAAAAAGTTGTAACGTGTTGTGTGTTCGTGTGTATTGATGTGTATGAGTGTCCAAAGTCAAGATGCAGAATCATAGCAGCAGAGGTACAACACCACACGAGACCACTTTGACAGCACTGCGTCAATGGTGAGTGAGACAGAGCAAAGGACTAGAGGAGAGAGCAGTGGAGAGGTCAAGGTCTTGAACTGGATTGAGGACATGAAAAAGCAGGGCCAGGGCAGCCAAACAGAGAGCTTCCTTTGTTAAAAGGAGAGGTCAGCATAGACTACACTTGTTCTTCTTAATGAGGGGGAAAAGTGATCAAAGTCAAAAGGTGACCATACTTACTGAAAAGTGAAAGGTTTCGCAAAGAACATGAAGGAAAGTACGATAGTCATGGCCTTCCTCCCAGTGGTTACTGCAATAAAGTAAAAACAATTTTTATTACAAATAAACTAAAGCTGTGAGAAATGTTCAAAATGATATTTCTAGTTCACAGTCAGTCTATATATTTTAATTGATTTTACCCAAATTTGTGTCTTTTTTTTATAGAATATATACAGTATAAAGCCAATCATTCTATTATAATTAATAAGTCTGTAACTATCCAAGAATGAAAAAATGAGTAAAAAATGTGTCTCTGACCTGTAACTGCAACCAGGGCACCAAACAACTTGATCAAGGCCAGCACGAAGGAGATGCCAAAGTAACCCGTAAGAGAGAAGAAGAATGCATAACCGTATGTCTTCACAGGATGCTGGGAGGAAGAAGAGTGTTCAACATCAAACTTCACAACATGTCTGGTGAAAACCGCTTTGTCAGTATAAAACATCTGGACTTACAATTATGAAATGAAGTGCCCACTAGAAGCCATTAAATCATGTTATAAGTGTATATACAGTCTAAACTTGAAAGGTAACGCTTGTCATATTCCAGGAGGTATATCTGTAAGAACTAAAGACTATACGTGGCTGTGTCTCTGGAGGTAGAGATGAAGTGCTGCAGTAGTCGACTGATTTGAAGATCAGCCAGCTTCAAGAAGCAAACTCCAAAAGAAGTGGGTGTGCATTAGAGTCCATACTTCCACTGCACAATCTGTCATCTGTGTAAGAATGTGTGTGTGTGATAGGAGGAATGTTTTCCTGTTTTAAAACACACTTTAAGTGTTCAGAGGGAAAAACAAGCTCTACAAATACAGCCCAGTTACCAGTAACCAGTTAATTAGTCTTCTAATCTTAAAAATGGAAATTTGAAACCTTTAAGGTTAAGACATGTTGCATAATAGAAGCATTCAGCCTCAGTGAAATCAGTCTGTTGTCAACCAGAAGCATCCAGTCTTCATGTCTTAATATATACCCACCTCTGAGCAGAAGGCCACTGCAGGACCGAGGCCGCCCACACAGAGCAGGCCTGTGAGTATGTAGACGAACCCGATCGAGTACGAGTAAAGCACCTGTCAACACAAGCCCATGTGACCAGTCAGTGACATCACACACAGACGAATCATCAATTATAAATAACTAGCATTCGAACCCAAAGATGTCGAAGTGATGACATCTTCTTCTTCATATTCAGTATATACATATATACTTATACTGTATATACACATGTAGGTACCATTTCAGAGTTGGAGCCGTTATGGAGTTTCATGGCTTTCTCCTGCACGTTTCCAATGGCCGCGTCAGCACACAGCGCCAGGGAGATGAGGAGAACACCTGCACACATAAACATACAAAACTAAAAACCTGTATATCTTAAGAGACGAGCCAAAGATACAACGTAGGTCTCCACTTTTCATATATGTGATACATTTCAGTAAAAGCGAATATGAAAATGAGAACATATCATTAAGAACATTTTTATGTGCAAGAGAATTTCCATGAAACTACTGGAGTCTGCTATAAAAGAAAGCACCTGTGACGTTGAAGGTGGGGGCCACTTTGCTGTCAGCTAGAGTAAACCAGATGAGTCCCAGACTCATGCAGAGAGCAGCGGACACATCAGCCAGGTTATAGCGTTTACCTGGAACATGAAAAGAAAAACAATGAGTCAACTTAAACATCTGTCTGCAACTCTGAAATCAAGAGTCTAAACTCTATCTCCAAGAAGCTAAACGATGAACAAGAGGTTAAACCAGCATGAAACCTCTACAGAAATCTGTGAAACCTGTTAAACCAGCCTAAGCCTTTTGCAACATCTAAAACACAAAGAAACTAAGGTATGCAAAAGGAAGGCGACTGCCCCTCCAGCAAAGGAATCTTCAAATGATTAGACACCTCTTTTTAAATCAAAGGAGATGATTTTGGATTGACGTTAAAGATTTGACAGAAAGTTTTCACAACTTGAACTTTCTTTTTTTTTTGGGGGGGGGGGGGGGTTTGCATGTAACAATGCACCAGAGAGCAAGAAAACAAAAGTTGGGAGGAAAACAACAGGATGAAGGAGTCTTCCAAAAAAACAGGCTGACGGATAGATGCCTAGAGGATGACAAGGGGACGGAGCATCAGGTTGGCCGTGGTCGCCTTTGATTCCCTGCCTCGCCTTTGAAGGCCCTCAAATCAGATGCAACTCCACACCCCTTCCTTCATCTGTCCCTCAATCTCTCTCTCTCTCTCACTTTCTTTCCTCTTTGCATTCCAAGTGAACAAACTCTGTTTTCCACACGACCCCTTCAGGGACCGTGGTCCTCACATCTACCTATCCAGAGAGAGACAGACACAGAGAAGTAGAGAGGCGAAATACTGAAACCCTGTCTGACAGGAGGACACTGAGCCTTTAAAGGGGTTGGTCTGCGGATGAAAGGACAGAAAGAACCAAAGGCAGGGAGAAACACAGCCAAGTGAGCTCTGACAACTGAAAACAACAGACATCTCATCTCTTTAAGCAATGACGCAACTTTGCTTTGTTTTTGTTAGAGATTTTATCATATAATTACTTAAAATTTCTGATGATTTACAAACACCTTTTTTAAATCCAACCGACTCATCCGCCATTGATTAATAAGCAGACAGTTGCCTCTCGCCCTTTGTTTTCTAGTGAAATCACTCTCACTTTGTGTCAGGTTTGTGAGTAAACACAAAGTAAATGGGGAAAAGGTAGAATTAAAATAAGGAAGTAGGAAACGAGTTACTAGAAACAAGAGCTCTGCATGTATGCTCTTAAATATTTTCAATAATTCTAACAAACAAGTTGCAATTTGTGACCACCAGCTCCCACTTTAATACAACGTGAGTAAGAAGATAGTGAAATGTGGCTTGAAGAAAATATATAAATCCATCCCTAAATGCACAATATTAATATGTGTGTGTGAATGCTTAACTTAGAGGTTGTAACCTGTCTAGTAGAGAGGGCTAAGTTGTCTTACGACTTTGACAAATATTAACATAATAAGTGAGAGCAGATCAACTCTTGTGTTGACGACAGTAACAGGTGAACGACTTGTTAGACTGGCTAATTCAGAAAATGATTAGACAGGATTCTAAAGTTTAAGTGGGGCATCTTTCATGCAAACCACCCCGATGTTAAAGGACACTAAAAGACCCCATGATAACCCGAGCTGGATATTTTCCCCACTTGCAAGTGTTCTTATGGAAAGCCCCAAAGTCCTCCATGAAGACAGAAAACTAAAGATTAGAGTTTCAATCGTCACAACTGGAGAGTAGCACACATTCATCACAAAGGGAGGAGGACACAAATATTGTGAAGAAGAAAGCAAAAGTAGTTTCATCAGTAGGGTCTGTGCTAACATTAACACACACAGTAGACAGTCAGCTCACCTTGTATAAACACTCCTCCAATCATGACCGGGATGAGCTTACAGCACTTGAAGATGACCTGTGTCGGATAGTTCAAGTAGCCCAGCGACGTGTTGGACAGTCCCATAGTGCCCACAGTTAAAAACGCTATGATCATATAGGTCTTCCCTGGTATCCTGGAAGACATCCAAACATAGAGAAGTTGAGAAACTAAAATCACTTCAAAAACTGAAGATTGTGTCTCACACTGTGAATTCATATGTATGTTATATATCAATACCACAATAATGAAATGTTGCAAAGACTGAATGAAGCTGAATAAATAACGGAGAAGTACACGCTGTTCACTGGGAGCAGGAATTGTTTACCTTCTGCGTTTGTCCTGCGTGAGCTGAAGCTCCACCAGTCCAAACGTAGAGTAGAAGCCAAACTGGACCAGAGTGAGGTACCAACCAAACGGCTTGAAGCCTTCCACAGAAAAGATCAACTCCTGGGTGGAGGAACAAATAAAGACTTACAAAGCAGACAGAACTCTGAGGCCCGCTGAATCTGGAAGTCTGACTGACACACAGAGCCGAAATACAACTCTGTATATTCATCACTGTGGCAGAGCTTTAACAAGCTGCTTTAAAAAAAGGTTTTACCAGAATGTCTGCTGCACGAGTGTTGGAGTTACCTGCAGGTATCCATAGACGAGGTAAAAGACGAAGACTCCAGCAACACAGATGAAGAACTGTGTGGGGGGACTGAAGCTGCTCAAGTTGATTCCTATGACTCTTAGCTCCTCCACGGACTTGATGTGTGGTGACATCACCTCTGTGGATGACGGGATGGAAATCGATATATGCTTCCGTGAACTGTTGTAGCCCACCAGGCCATATTTCGCACTCATCGTGTCTGCGGCTGCTGCCAGCTGAGGAAGAAGGGGGGAGTAGTTACTTCTCGTGTCTTACTTGTAAAGACTTTATGTCGCAGACTGAGAGGAGTAACTAACACAAAAGGTGACTACCTTTACCATGACTTACACAACACATTCAGCTCAGATCTTTCATGGTTTGAAAACTAAAACAGTCATGATAGTGACAGTTGTGGAGAACAGGTAAGACCTGCTGAGGGAAATCAAGCTGAAAATAGATGACAGCTTTTTAAAAAAAAATTTGAATAAACAAATGGTTGACTATGCAAAGAAACTCTTCTCCGTCAGTGATGGATGTCACACTAAACATCAGCAACACACTGTGGTGAGGCACAAGACGACATTGAAAGCACCACTTTGATTCATTACGCTGTTACAGAGTTCAAACACTTTTAAAGCATCTGTCTTGTGTTTTTTTTTTTTTTTTAAGTTTGTTAATAACCTGATTGCATTTATGAGCGGTTATGATATTTTTCAAATTGCTAACGACCTCCTTGATGATTTGTTCTTTAAATATTAGTTATCACAGCCTGCATTTAACTAGGAGTTGTAGGGGAGTGATGAGAAAGTACTTTTAGATGTAGTGTTAAACAACAAGGTAAACAACAATAGAATGATATACAGATGATATATTTATGGTGTGTCAGTATTTGATCCATGTAAGAGGCTTGTGTTGACGTAAAGGATGAATTGAGTGACGTAATCTCGGGTAGCCTATCTGAAGCAGGTTGCTAACGACTTCAGTGATTTTAAGATTCACACAAGTTAAAAAATAATCCGTCATCTTGACAGTACACGTCACATTTAAAAACAAAAACAACTACTTTCAGCGACAGGTGTAATCACGGACTTTGATTTCTTTGCCAAACAAACAATCTATAACAGTAGCAGGCTTGTTACCTTCTCCAACACTTCCGGGTTTCTTTGCGTTAGCTTGTCCTCTTCTTCAGAGGCGATACCGTTGAAAATCATTTCCTTGGACGCGCCCGCTTCCTCTCGCGATCATTTCGGACATTTTCACGATCCTCCTTTCAATGGCGAACAGCAGAAACACGATGAGAAACGTGTTAGCCTACGAGGAGCTGCCTGCACTAGCTGCAGCTGCACTGGTGCTGCAGCCAACAACTTCCGGTCCACTCCGACCTCTGAACTGTGATGCTATTGGTCGGCACAGACACGCGCTGCAGCAGGTGAATCAGTAGTCTACACGATATTGATTTAAGTTTTACACAACTTTACAATCGGTCTAAATGATTTTAAATGACACTGACATGCGTAATGAAGAAATAAAACGTTTATTAAAAAGTAAAACAGTTCAGGCTGTATCTCCTGCACGTGATGAAGGGTCTATGTATTATATATAATAATATATTTACAGTCTATGTTCAGGCACACATTGAGTTTGCTGTCTCTAATGGACTATAAATTCAAGCTTGGCTGGTGTGTCCAGTTTGGCAACGTATAGTTCCCATCAGTAATTGTCTTCTTCACATGTTTTTTTTCCCTCCTTTCCCAGAAATCAAATACATGCCATCTTTATTCAACGGACCAGTTATCATTCACAATAAATAGTCATAAGAGTGTACAGTTTGCAGTGGCTGATGATCAAGCTGAAGAAACTTGTCAATGGGCAGAAGGTAAGTCATTCCATTCATTTGTTTGAATATTTATGGCCTAATGTTTGTGTACTTTACATTTTAAATTACTACTTACATCCCACCTAATTCAAGCGGGAAATGTTTTGCTTTTATTTTATTTTATTTTATTTCATTCATACTTTTTTGATTTGACAACAATTGCTTTTGTGTCTAAAACACACATTTAAAAAAAACAAAAAAAAACACCCACAATGAGTTAGATACATATTAATCGTTTTACTTAAAAAAAAAGAAGAAGTTATTTTGAAGTGGGAGGAGAGAGTGAGGGGTGACATGCAGCAGGGGGTCGAGGTGGGCTTCGATCCTATGACTGCTGTGATGAGGTCTATAGACTCTGTAGGGTGCACATCATGACCATGAGGCTATCCAACGCCCAACATTTAACATTTTGTGAGGAGTTCATTGCTCATAATGATCTTTACCAAGTTAATTTTTAAAAGTGTGTCCGACAAAATTCCTACAGTTGTGGTTAATGTTCTGTGTTTCACTGATCTCTGTGTTGATGTAGATGGTGGCCTTGAAGATCTAAAGGCATTTGCACCTTAAATATGTAGACTCTACATTTGCTTGTATTACACGCTAGTTCAGTTTCCATCTGCAACAAAAATGCATCAGAAATGTAATTGCAGAGGATGTTATGGACAAGGATGCGTTTGATTGATTCTGAATTCAGCTATATTGCAGTGCATCCTGGTACATGTAGGCACTCCAAGCATGACTCATGCAGTTTTCAAGAACGCTTGCTTTGAATGAAATGATTGAATCACCAGAACTGATTGGACATCCACACAAAAATAGTCAAACAAACTTAGCTTTTATAATGTTTTTAAAATTCTCCTTAGTGCAGCTTTATCCCCACAAGTTCTCTTCCATACTCGACCATTCCTCTACCATCTCTTCCCTTCATGTCAATCCCCTTCCAGACTCCCTCTTCCACTATCTTTCTCATCCACTCTCCCTGGACTTTACCCCCCTTGCAGTCATGTCCATATCTGCCCCCCCTTCTCCTACTTTTCTTTCAGCCTTTCTCTCTCCGAATCCTTATTGCATTATTCCCTCCTCTCCCTTCCTCTGCTCTGGCCCTGTCTCTTGGCCATCTCATATCTCTGTCTCCCCCTGTTTGGCTTTCAGCATAAGGCAAGAAACTCTTTTGCCCCCTTCAATTCCTCTCCTCACTCTTCAAGTCTTCCCCTTCTCCTGGCTGTCCAATCTCAAATCCCTCCCTCCACCAGCCTTTTTTCTTCTCCCTCTCCCTGTCCTCTTTCCCCAGCCAGAGGTTAATACACTCCAGGATGGCATTATTTCCTCCCCGGCCCTCTGACAATATAAAAATTCAGAATGGACAGCTCAATCCCTCTTCCATCTCAGATTTGATTGTAATGGTATTGCCTCCTGTCCCTGGGAGGCCCCTGCCGCCTCGCCAACCCGGCCTTTATGACACTAAATGGCCAGGCTACAATTTTTCCATCTATTCAAAAAATTCTGTTAATAACTCATTTGGAATGAGACATCTGCGGCCAGGTCTCTCACCCCTCTGTTCATAGGGGTCACAATATACAGAAAAAGATGCAGGGCTGAATCGCAAATGTAAAAGGTTAATTAATCTCCCTGAATTTACAATCCTCCCCCCCCCCCATTCCCCTTGCACTCCAATTGACAGTCCCAACGAGACAAAAAATGTCATATTTACAACCTGGCATGGAGAAAGTGCTCAGCAATGCACAGCGGTGTGAGTGCAGGCCTGTCCGAGCACTCTCCCCGCTCCCCCATCCAACTTTACAAGTGTACCCATTCATCATGCATGATGGATTTATGTAATAAAACCCATTTCCTTTTCCCATACGATCCTATTAAATAATAAAATAATTATTTATTGATTATTCAAAAAGGTACATATGCGCGGGTAATGGCTTTGCACCACACCACCGGACCTGCAATAAATAAAGCAGGCATAGAGAGGGCTCGAGAACGACATAGAGGAATAAAATGGGGAGAGGGAGAGAGGGGAGGGAGGGGAGGGAGGGGGGGGGAGAAATGAAGGGGAATGAAATGACTTTTGAACCAGTGAAATCTGGATCCAATATGGCCTCTTGCAGAGCGGATCAGGAAGGACATTATTCAATCTTCAGGAGGCTCATATGGGAGCGCGACCTATGAATGGTTTTGATATACTATATGGACCATAGAAATTAGAATAGACAACAGGATGAGTTTCTTCCCTAGAGTTTGGTTCCACATCTGATTATTGCTCAGCTTAAACCACAAAATATGTTTATATGACGCTAAAAATAAAGACTGATAAGCATTTTTGTTTTGTTTTCTATTAAACTAAGTTGAAAATATGGTTTCTAGTTGGAACAATCAGGTTGAACAACACTATACACACCTCATAATGCAACTAAAGGTTTAAGATATCCCCTTCATTTTCTCTTCATTACAACATAATTGTGGTTGTTGCAGAGATGAGACTCAGGAATATGAATTCAGCGTTTAATCTTTATCAAGCATCAACAGTGTTTGTTTTGGGGCTTTTTGTGGAAGAACAAGACTCCTGGGGTTTAGTAAACTGTCCAAGAAGGTAATGTTGATCTCTGTTTTTCTTCTTAAACTCTTTCCCTTAAAGAAACATGTCCATCCATATAAACACCCACTCCCTTATAATAATTCATCTTATTTATTCAACAACAGTATCATAATAAGCCTCCTATCCCCAGCAGAGGATCATTTTAAAAGGAGACACTTTAATGTCAGCCAGATATTACACTGAGGGCTCCTTAATAAGCCATTTGTGTTTGGACTATCCTGGGCTAAAGTGCACCCGCTCTCCGTTGTCTTTTTCCTGGGCTTGTCTCGAGCCTCCTGCATGCTACAGAAAACAGATGCTATCTCGGCTATATTACTTCTCAAAGCGCTCATATCCTCTCCCATGTTATTTTCTTTGATCTGCTAGGCTCACTGCTCTTACATTTTTCTTTCCCCCCTCGTCTCACGCCCTCAATTCCTTACCCCTCCTACACCAACCCCCCCACCCCAACCCCGCTCCATCCTCCATCCTCCATCCTCTTTGCCAGTGACCAGAGAACAGAGACTGAGTCCAGACTGGCTCACGGTGGCTGTGGACGTTTGAAATTCAGCTCATCTGTTCTCTGTCATCAGAGGGCACGGGGTGCATGGTGGGTTGGACCTCTTAGATTCTCCATTTAGTATGCTTCACCATCAGAGGAGGGCTCATATCAGAGCTGAGGTCAATTCCCATTCAGTAAACAGGCTGTTCCAACCAGGACCTCAGACTGCAGATATCTCACTAAATATTTAATACGGACCCCTTTGATACTAACCTACTCATACTCAACTACGTGTCTTATCAACACTGGGAAATCAGTTTTGTTCTATAGTAGTTTACTTAAAGTTGCATCAACCCTCTTTGTATTTAGGTCAACTTGGCCTTAAAGAAACAGTGAATTGTGATTTTCACAGTCGACATTCACAGAGGACAGTCCGACATCTCATTTCATCATCCAAACAAAGTGTCGAGTTTTTTTGGCCGTGTGGTCAACAAAACTGTCAGATGAATCATTAATTAGAAACATTTGAGTTGCAGCCTGTTTTTATGCCCCCCCCCCCCCACCCCCCATACATGTAAGTGCAAAGTATTACAAATATATCAAGGACACCTTAAAATATGCAATGCCTATCATGAACCATGATTACAGTACAAGTGCATTTATGTATAAAAATATTTTTTTTTTTTTCATACTCTAGTTTTGCTTTGATTTGACATCGCAGAGATACAGACTAGGAGATGATGATACATTAAACCTCTACACCACTAACTAAGAAAAGGATGCAGAGATGAGTCATGTCTTGAATCCTCAATTTTAATTTTGAAGCCCATCCTTTTTTTTGACTTTTTCATGTGTCTTTAAAAGTCATAGAGCCCAAATCCTTCTCATATTTATTTGTACTTCAGTGTGTAAATTAATGTCAAACAAGCAATCACAAGAATGTCAGTAAAAATCTAAACTTTGAAGTGAAATGAAAGTGAGCATAGCAGTCCAAAATGCTTTTGCACATTTTTTGTGAGTTCTTGCATTAATCTGCACATTCAGACACCTGAATGAAACATACTTTTATGCTCACAGGTCATAAGCAGCAACATTTGAGTGAATGTGTGGCACTTAAAGACCGGGGAGTCTTTAGCTTTCTTAAGAGCAGCCAGGAGGGGGAAGCATCCCTCTTTACAAGTGTGCACCCAAGAAAAGGAAAGAAAAGTAATTAAACAAACAATTTACAAGGATTTGTGTTTCTGCTTATCCAATCTACCATACTCGCTTTTTTGCTCTAATACATATAGACAGAAAATGTGAAAAAAACACACGTTTGTTGTCTCCTCATAGTGATGTTAAACGACACACGTTTCATTGCCCATTCGTTTAACCTGCACCGTGCTGATGAAGAGAAAGGGATTGAGAAACAACTTACGTGGTGTCA